TTCTTTCATAATAACGCTTCATTATCAATATTATCGGTTTCAAGTAAACTAGTTCCCAAAGTTTGATACATTCTCTTCCAAAATTTAAATTACTTTAATTTTGGATGGATTCTGAGCGAGAAGACCAAATATTTTAGACCAATTAGCCTTACATCCTTCCTCCTAAAACCATTGGAGAAATTGATCGATAGATATTTACGGGATGATGTACAGGATAAATCGATACATCGATACCAGTTTGCCTACCAATCTGGAAAGTCTTGCGGTGCAGCCATACATAGGCTAGCTCAACAGGTTGAACAAGCATTAGAAAGCAAAGAAATAACACTAGGAGTCTTCCTAGATATAGAAGGAGCTTTTGATTCGGCTTCATACAATTCAATACTGGGATCTATGCACAGGCATGGAGTAGCCCACTGCATAACGAAGTGGGTTGAGTTCATGCTTAATCATAGAACCATTACCAGTAATATCCTCAACACAACAAGAGATGTTTGCAGAGAGGAGTGTTATCTCCTCTTATGTAGATCTTGGTGGTTGATGACCTCTTATATAAATATCGTCAAAAGATGGTGCCTAAAAGAGGGATTGTCCACAAACTCGACAAAAACCTCTGTTGTTGCATTCACAAGAAAAAGGAACCTTCAAGGAATGAAGGAGCTTTATATGTGGGGGCAACATCTAAAAATGGCAAAAGAGGTAAAATATCTTGGAATCATTCTTCTGTAGACGGATGGTAGGGAACATATGAGGAGCGATCATCCAAAACCAGATAAATCCATTTTATAAAGTTTTGAGATAATGGCAAAAAACCGTCCATTAGGGCGTCCGTAACTTTAACCAAGAAAATAAATGGCTTGTCTGAATTATTACTTTATAATAATAATTATTAATAATTACTGTTTTCGTTTTTTTTTTTTTGATGATTAACATAGTAATTATTGCAAATTAATCTGTTTTTGCTTGAGTTAACTAATTTTATAATGTAAAAAGTGTTTATTTTAATATAAATATGTTTAATACCAAATCTTTTACGTTAATCAGGCATTTTTTAATTTTATTTATTTTTTTTTATTTTTTTTAATATTATCTAAGTATAATAATATGTTTTTAAAACTTTGTTGTACTTTTGAAATAAAGCAAAGATGTATTTTCAAACGTTTATTATATTTTAAATTCACACAAAAATCAAAAAAGTAAAAAAAATAATGAACGAATTAAATGTGCATTCCTAGGTCATCATCGAGGCAATCGCAAAGTTCGTTCTTATTTTATTCTTGAACTTCGACGGCACCAGCTTCAAGTGGAGCTTCATGCAATATATTTTTGTACCACGCTAGATTCTCTTCATTTTCCCAGGTTGTACCAAACTGTTGAGCCATCAGATGAGCTAGGGATTTTTTCTTTTTCTCGGGAAGAGATCGCGTTAAAGGAATTTCTTCTAATAATGTTGGAAATTCTTTTCATGCTCTAAGAATCTGTTGGGGCACTTCATTTAAAATTGCCATTCTAAAATTCTGATGACATTGTACTTTCGCGATATCTTGTCCTATTTTATCACGGGATTTCTTGATAAGGATTCGCTTGTAGTCGGAAATACCTACAATTTTCTTAAGACAATCTTGCAGATTTTTAATGTCGTAAAGATTCCAGTCAATGCCAAGTTCTTTCACTATTCCAAACTGAGAATATTTTTCAAAGTATTCGTCCTTGCTTAATATTGTTCGGTTTTTTCTTAAACATTTTTCCACACGGCCAAAAACCCTATCTGCCGGAAGAAAGCTATGTCCTCGAACTGGGAAAGTCAACTGGATTTCTTTTAAAGTGCCGGGGGGCTATTTTTAAGCCAAAAATAAAGAGCATGTACAATATGTGAGTTTTTGTTCTGGCCCCCACAACCCTCACAAAATAGTCTTAATACTTCAATGTCTTCGAGTTAAACCTATCTGAACTGACCCATGACCAGCTTGTATCTCAATCCAGGTGTAAAAGATAGGGTGCCTTGAGTTCATGTCGACGCAACAAAATATGTAGAGACTCACTTGGTGAGAGTAAAAGGCATCTGAAATGGGAATTTATCTGGTTTTGCTTGAATTGCTCGACTTTGAGGTCGATTTTGAATGGGATTTAATGAGTTTTGGTTGAAACTGATTACGCCATCGGATTTATGTCACCAAAAGAAATAGAAATCGATCATAAAATCATTTTTGCCCAAAATTGGATTTATCTGGTTTTGGCTGATCGCTCCTCATATGGGGGCTTAAACTAAGTATGATGCACTAGCTTTACCCTATTGTTGTAGTAGCTGTTATAACTTACTCATCAGTCATACGGTGGCACAAGACTAAAGCCTAACAGCTAACAGAAAATTAGACAAGGTACAACGACTGGCCTGTCTAATAATAACAGGGGCATTTAGAACTACGCCCACAGCAGCAAAGGAGCTACCGCTAGGTCTTCCTTCACTACAAATAATGGTGGAGAAGGAGGTTATGGCGGCGGCATACAGGCTGTTTACTAATAGATTTGAAAGGGAACTTTCAAAAAAAAAGACACCACACAATGATATTGAAGAAATTAAAACAAAATCCGGTACTAAGAAGGCATTCGGATAGAACGCCCATTTATTCACGACTTCAGGAAACCTTTCGATATTCAAATATCAGAAAGGGCCAATAGCCGAGAAAATAGGAAAGAACAGAATCAATCAATCTCGTATACAGACGATTCGAAAATGAAAAACAGCACAGGAGCTGGGAGCTACCATGTGAACTCAGGGAGGATAATTAGTCTGAACCTGGGGTCAATGACAACAGTTTTCTAGGCTAAAGTAACAGCAATAAATGCCTGCGCCAAAGTCATGCTACATGACTCTTTTAGAGATAAGAGGGTCTTTATCATGACAGACAGTCAGGTAGCCCTTAAAGCACTGAAAAAGGTAGAAGTACAATCTAAATTGGGGTGTCAAGACAGGAAAATTTGTGTGACACCCCTCAAATGCCAGAAACACCTCTCCCAACCGGTGGATTTTAGGGGTGGTTCAACTATTGCTGCAAGTTTTAACCCTGATTTTCGTAATCAGCGACCCAAAAAACATATGAGATGAGCTGTATTTTGCAATTTTATGGATGTTCCAACCATTGCTGCCAGTTTTAACCATCATTTTCGTAATTAGCGCCCCAAAATACGTAGGGGACAAGTGGTCTCGTCAAGTGTGGCATTTCTCGACCTTTTATCGTTATTTTAAATTGACTAGTGGTTAAACTTATTAATATAATAAACGCTGTATTTCGACTAGATTATGTACCTAGCATCTGGAAAGTCGCTGAAATTATAATGATACCCAAACCCGGAGAACCACCAAATGAAGTAAAGGCCTATAGACCTATATTCCTGTTATCAGTATTATCTAAACTTTAACAGTAAATCTCTCTATAGCTGAAATCAATTCATTTTTCAAAAATACTTGATGTTTTCGTTTTTAAGCTCTAATAACATAAGCAACTCATTTATTTATTCTAAAGACAGTAGACAAAGTAACTAATTATTTTTTCCAATTCCACACTCATTTAAACAATATGCTGGTGTACTGGTATGACAAATAAAAAAATTAAATATACAGGGTGGACCAATCTTGTGGAAAAGTTCGATATCTTCCTTGTTGAAAGAGATAATAAGTGTATTAAGAAAATTATGGACAGGTTTGAGGTTAACATGTTAAAATTATTGGGAGGTATACAGGGTGTTGCATAGCTCGTGTACGAACCAAACATATGTTTTCTTTAATGATAACCCCAGTATATTATTTTAGATTCTGTTTACTCATCTTTTTTCCATTCTTCTAATATATGGTTTGTCTATTTTATATAGGGTACTTTTCAAGGAATTGACATTTTTGTGAGAGAATTGTACATAATTCAACGTTCAGCAGCCAATTACACAATGTAGAAAAACATTTTTTTTACCCACACGAATTTTATAATATGATGTATAATACTTTTTGTTATTCATATTTTTATTATCTGTTTATTCGTATACAGGGAGACTCAATACTTAGACCCTTTATTTTCTTGTTTTATTTAAATGGGACACCTTATATTTTATATCACCAGTAAAATCATCTGTCCCAAGTCTTTCATTTTTATTAAGCATTCCCTATACCTAAAGTTAATATTTATCAATATTTTTTAACAATAAATGAAAGTTATGGTTATGTCGATAAATTAAACTAGTTTTTCATAAAATACTCTTTATAAACAATAATAAATAATATGTGTGAATACAAAAAAACTCAAAAACAAACAAAACAATTAAAACATAATTATAAAAGTTGTTCAAAGTGACCTCCCATAACAATACCAATACAGTTTTGTAATCGAATATCGAATGACTGACTCACATTTCTCAGCATTTGAACATAAATACTTTGAAATACATTTCTGATTCGAGTTTTCATGTCCTCTTTTGTCGTTGCAGGTACATTATATACTTTGTTTTTTACATATATTAGAAGAATGGAAAAAAGATAAGTAAACAGAATCTAAAATAATATACTGGGGTTATCATTTAAATAAAACATATGTTTGGTTCGTACACGAGCTATGCAACACCCTGTATACCTCCCAATAATTTTAAAATGTTAACCTCAAACATGTCCATAATTTTCTTAATACACTTTTTTAATATCTCTTTCAAGGAAGATATCGAAATTTTACAAATTTCAAAGTTCATTCTCTTATATGATATTTAAACTATATAACCTGGTTCCACCTAATTTCAAACATCTTTCGTCAAATATATTTAAGCAAAAGTACAAACATCTCTTAATGTCAGAAAATATCTAGTCAAAACAGCCTTTAAAAATTATAATAAAATATAATATTACATATTACATATATTCATATAGCGAGGAAACAAGTCCATTTCTCATAGATTCGTTTTTAAATAAACAAAAAACCATGATAGTTAAAAATACATTCTTAGTCAAGATTCATACATACCGGAATATCCTTAAAAACTTCTGGATTTAATTCCCTCAAATTGTTGCCGTTGAGTTTCAGAACTCTCAATTTGCTGATTTCCAGAAACAACCTAGGAGTCAGTTCTTCGATCCTATTCCTCTGGATCGACAGCACCCTCAGACCATGTAAGTATCGAAACGTTCCGCTGGGCAGTGAAATAATTCTGTTGTCGTCGAGATACAACTCCTTCAAATGCGATAATCCTCGGAAATTGTGGTCCAAGGGTTGTGTTATGTTGTTCTGCGACAAATTCAGGACGTCTAACTTGTTTAATCCGTAAAAAAAGTGCATGCCTAATTGGGGTACATTCGACTTTGTAATGTGAATCTCCTCTAACCGCTTGTAGCTCTGGAAAACAGGACTCATAGTCAGAGAGTTCATATTGTCATCCGGTGCGGTAATCATAATAATTTCCGTATTCAGACTGACATTATTGAGATTCAAGGGCCCTACGAAGCCCCCTTCCTTACAGGCGACGACGTTTCGACCTTTATGGTCCAAATAACATGAACATCTTGTCGGGCAAAGTGCCCACGTTTGGGAAGCGTAGTAGAAGAGGACGATGAGAAGCTTGGCGATCATTCTGGAACAAAAATAAATAATCAGTGTCGTAGTTAAACATTTTTAAATTTCTAAGATACACTCAATTTTTCACTCATGAGAGAGTTATCGAAAATAATATTTTGTATTGCTACATTTTCTAGTATACGTATTTACTGCATCTTTTACTGGCTTTTACTAAAATTTGTTTAATTCTTTTGGTTTTTCTCTTATTCTGACATATTGATTGTCTGTCATTACCTGACTGTCAAATAGTAAAAGGCCAGTGGCCTACTCTGGCAACACCACCTGCGAGCGGACAGTTGACATAGATGAATATAGTAGAATGGAAGTTGTTAATAAATGGTTGAAGCAGAACCATGTTTTTTTAATTATTGCTACTACTCAGGTGACTGGCAGATAATACTAACTACACAATCATAGTTATATATGGCACAGTTGCAATTTAATACAAATTCCAAGATTTGAAAGTGTGAACTAAATACAATAAATACAAGAACATAATTTTAAATATGGGTGATAATAGGGGTATTACACCATTATCGACACACGTAAAAATTCAACAAAAATGAAAGAAGCTATGGATAGCCTGCTTCCAAAATTACTTAATAGCCTCAGATATCATAAAAAGGAGGAAAAAGCTCAACTTCTGCACTTTATAGGTAATGAACGGTTTAAAATATACTCCACATTCAAATTTGAAGAAGATCAGAAAGACAAATTAAAAGAACTAACGAAATACGATAAACATTTCTTGAGAAAAGAAAACCTGATTTATTTACGGAAGGTATGACAAATGCTAAATTAAACTTTAGAAAATTTCATTACGGAATTAAAGCAGAAAGCTACTAGATGTAAATTCAATTTCCTAACAGACATCCTTATAATTACAGTGATATCTTGAAGAATAAATAATCCTGCAATTCGAGAAAGACTTCTGCAAGTAAATGATGCTTTAACACTGGACGAAGCGGTCGAAATATGCAAGATAATAGAATCATAGAATAGTCCAGAAGTGAATAGGTGGCGAGTAGCAGTAACTCCGGAAATAAATTCTCCCAATAAAGGTTTCGTAAGTTCAAGAAAAAATTAATAGAATTCCCAAGATAAAAGAAATGTAAGTACCATAAAAGATTGCAACAAAAACGGTACGAAACTACATGTAGTAAATAAATGGAAGAAAGTGCAACTTCTGCAAAATTGAAAACAATTTCGAAACTGTTTGCGGAAAGAAAAAACACCAGGAACATAAAATTGTTAGAAAGGCGATAGAAAATAATATAGAAAACATAATTTCAGATAATGTTCAATGACAACCCTTAAAAATTGATACATGAGCTCTGGAAAATATACTACGTCTTTCAGAGAAATAAAGGTCTTGATTTAAATTTAATTTTAAAGAGAGCTAGTATTTTGCGTTCATACACAGGAAGTACACTAAATATTATGAGTAAATGTGTAGTATCATGTTTAAAAAATAAAATGATATTAATTTTTACATAGTAAACTCAAATACACAAGCAATTCTAGAGCTAGAAATTTAATCATAAAGGTAGATTAAGTTAAAAATTCTAATTAAAATTCATACAGACAATTAATTAAAGAAAATCATTATTTATTTTAAAGCATATGATGTATAAATTCAACTTATCACATTGAAATAGAGAATAATTCCAAACCTGTGATACAACCGGTTTGAATAGTAGCTTTACCCATTCTTAATCATTAAAATAAAAAATAATAGAAGAAGACAGTTCCGATTGGATGAATGCTCTAGTTCTAGTTACAAAGTCTAATAATAAATTAAGAATATTTTTGAACCCAATAGACTTAAATAAAGTAATTAAACGAGAGTATTGTCCTATCCCAACTTTAGACCAAATTACAAGTAAGTAGGTGCAACAGTATTCAGTCCCCTTGATGCTTCACAAAGGTTCTAGCAAATTCCATTAGATAACAAAAGCTCAAATTTATGTATCTTTGAGGCTGATATATGACGTAAAATCAGCTCGAGAGGTGCTTCAAACAAAATTACAGATACACATATAGATGACATATTATTTTAAGGAAAATATAAACAAGGCTAAGGCTAAGGCTAAAGAAGGTTTTTGAAATTGCAAAAATAAATAATATTTGCTTTAATTTAAATACATGTAAGTTAGGATAGAAACAAATTACTTTCATAGGTCACACCATGAATTAAGTCCAGACTAAAATACAGGAAATTACAGACTACCGCGACCTCAAAATAAATTAGATGTGCAACTACTTTTAGGTATGCATAGAATTTCAGAAGAATTGTGAACAGAAACGTTGTTCATTCGAAATATTAAAAAAAATCTTTGGTACAAAAACCAGCTTTACAATTTTATAACGCAGATAGTGAAACTACAATTTCAGTTAATAGCTCTCAGTCGGGCATGGGTGCTTGTTTATTACAAAATCAACTCCCATGTGCATATGCATCTAAAGGAATGACTGAAACACAAACCAGGTACTCCCAAATCGAAAAAACGGGTAATTGTAGAAACTGATCATTTAACCTTAATTTCTATCATTTACCCTTAATTTCTACCGTTAAAAAACCACTTAACAAGTGCCCAGCACGATTATAATGCATGTTTTTACAAATTTAGAAGTACGACATAGTGATTAGGTATAAACCAGGTAAGGATCTTTTAATAGCTGATGCACTCTCTCGAGCTTACCTGAAGGATACTACAAAAGACGGTCTTGAGTGAGATAGAAAATCAGGTTTTTCTAATAATTTCAGAAATAAATATAACTTTAGGTAAATTGCAAGAATTAAAAAAAAAAACTTAGATAAAACATTACAATAAAGGTAATTTTAGATGGTTGGCTTAATACTATTAAAAAAATTTATTGGAAATTCAAAAGGGACTTAACTGCAGCAGAAAACTTCATTTTTTAAAATAATTTGTTAGTTGTTTAAGAGATAATTTTTTGTTGTATCATGGTAAATGAAATAAAGCAAAAAATTCAAAATTGTTGAGCTGTGCATAAAACACTCAAAACTTCGATTACCTGAACCATTAAATAAAAACAAGATACCAAACCTATCTTGGTGTAAAGTAGGATGTGATTTATTCGAGTTAACCCTAAGTCATACACCTAAATAATTTTAATAAAATTTTAAAAATTTTTGTGGATGACTTTTAAGCCCCAAATTATGCATCTATATTGTCCCGATCTTAACTTTTTATCTACAAAGTACAGTTTGATTAGGTTGCTTCTAGGCAACATTATTGTTTAGTGGTATACCTAGAATGATGCTTTAAGGCAACATTGATCATTTGAGTTCTAATTTTTTGTACGTGTCAAATGGAGGAAACTCTAGTAAACCAAAATAATTTTTTGTAATAATTTATTGTAGAAAAACTCCAAAAATGAACATAAGTAACTCAAGTTTAATTTGTTCACAATTATCTATACAAAAATTTCTATGCATTGTACACGTAAACTGAAACATATTTATTTTTAAATCTCAAAGTGTAGGGAAGCGGTGCTTTCCCCGCTTCCATGGACCGCACGCCACTGGTTTGCTCTTGGTATATTGGATAATTTTTTCCATTCTTTTTTTCTGTTTTCCTGTTTTGTGGAGAGATTCAGCTATTTTAAATCTATAGTGCTAGAAGAGAATTGGCCTTGTAACTAAAGCAAATTTTAACAAATTCCTAGCCAATAGACACAATTTATAATCAAAAAGGGGTAAAAACTTTACAACCACTTGTACTAGGAACTGTTTATAGTTTATATTCAATTAAAACGAAAGTCTGAGTGGTTGCCAGGTAATATTTTAAAACAAATAAGGGACAGAACAAATCAAAGAAAGAGAAACATAATAGAAACTAATTTATATAATTAGATTCACTGTATATCGCAATAATGCTATATTTTATTTTAGATCAAAATCGTATGGGTAAAATTTTCATTATACATTATCTCAAAAATTTCAATTATAATTATTTTTCATCGGAATAATAGTCATGTACTTTTTTAACAAAGTGAAGTTTTTTTTCTTTAATTTATTTTATTCAGTAATATGTGTACGCCCGTGAACGTATTGGCATACAAGAGGGCGATGGTAGAGTAATGAGGAAGAACAATAAATCTCGTTGTGTTACTGATTTATTAGTTCAATATATAGTGGATTGCGAATAAACAGTACATCGATGATTTGTATATCTTGCTGTAGTAAAGTTAATTTCTTTTTTCGTAAAATATTACTGATATAGTCTTTTGTTCCATTTCCATTGTATTTATTCGATACTTATTGATATAAGCCAATAATGGTAGCAGAAAACAAATTATTTTCTGAGCAAATTCGTTTTAAAGAATTTTTAAAAAATATTACTATTGATTTGCAATAATACAAAGAATGCAATGAGTTTCTGTTATAGGATTTTGCAGCTAAAGGAACTATACGTACTTGTTTTAACAAAATATTGTCGTCAGCCACCAGGTTTTAATAGATAATTAGATATACAAATTAAATTATTGTAATAATTTCTTTTGACTCTATTAATTTTAATTTATATGGTCCTTTTAACTAACTATTAAACCAAAGAAAGCTCGTGTACACAAAAAATTCAGCCCCTTTGTTCAAACTTATTATAAAATACTAAGCATTATTTATTTTATTTATTTTTATTAAAATAATAGAATGAAGATTCCAGTCTAAATTTTTAATGCTCTTTTATATAAATAAATAATGTAACTAATAATTCTTCTTCAGTCGAATTTAATTTTAAAAAAGCCTATTACGCGACTCTCTACTTTGACCTGGGTCTATTATCAAAATAATCAAAGAAAAAGATAAAGCTCATTGTCGGTTTAAGTTTGCAGGTTCTCTTGAGGCCTTAAATACATTCAAATCCACACGTACTAATGTTAATAGACAAGTTCTCATTCTCAATATGCTGAAAGAATGGAAAATAATATTCAGGAAAACCCTCAGAAATTTTGGACATACCTAAACTCTTTTAAGAACTCCTTAAGCT